TGATACCCGAAGGGAAGGATTGGGAAGGTGACTGAGTTCATCAGGGAATGAGTCATCAGGAAATGAAATGAGTCATTAGGAAACGAAAAGCAAGAGCCTGATCCTTCAGAAGGGTCTACATGAAGAAAACAGACAGTAGCAGGCCTGGTGAGGCCGCAGAGTGACCGCAGGCCTTCCACAGGGTTGGTCAGAGTGTGAGCTGGACGGCTCCTTTGGAGGGCAGTGTGACAGGACTGACCCAAGGTGACCAAACGCTTACCTTGCGATGTAGCATTTCCTCCCCTAGGTATGTGTCCAGCAGAAATGTGAGCACATACTCACCAAAGGAGTGTACAAGGATGTCCACAACAGTATTGTGCGATAGCCAAGGGGCCATCTGCAGTAAATTGGGACATAACATTGCCATCCACCCGTGTGATGATCATACGGCCGGGAGAATGAACCAACTTAGTTACGCACAAAGATCCAATTTCAAGAAGCCAGGCAGAAGCCTGGATGCTATATAGGAGTCCATTTACATAAAGGGCTGGAGTGCAGTGGCACCATCACAGCTCACTGTAGTCTTAACCTCCTGGCTTCGGTCAGTCCTTCCATCTCAGCCTCCTCAGTAGCTGGGACTACAATGTGCACCATTTTGCCCTGCTGATCTTTAGACTTTTTTTTTGTAGAGATGAGGTTTTATTATGTTGACCTGGCTGGTCTCAAACTCCTGGGCTCAAACAATCTTCCTACCTTGGCCTCCCAGTGCTGGGATTACAGGTATGAGCCACTGGGCCTGGGCCTGGGTAACCTTCTAAGCGATCTTTTAGGTGCTGGTTACCTGGATGTATTCACTTCTATGTGTGCATTTCTGATGTGTGTCATTAAAAAGTTATTTTTAAAGAGAATATTCCAGTTGTATTAATTAGTGACCCCCCCCCCACACACACACATTAAAAAAAAAACACTGGAGTGAATAGAAAATAATTGAAATACAGTACTGAGTTAGTTTTTCTCAGTACTTCCAGACCTTTGGGCGAATATGGAATTAAGTCCTGTTCCCCATTCCCTTCTTAAAACACCGAGAAGTTGAGGTATTTTCCTTGGTTATAAAGTGAGATTTTTGTTGCATTTGATGGAGCCAAGGGACCCGGCCACCACAGCAGTCAAAGAAAGTTAATGAGGATAAGATTGTGGCTTATGCCGTGCTGTGATTGACTCCAGATTTTGAAAATTATTTTCAAACCAAAGAAAATGAAGCAAGCATTCCAAGATGTGGAGAAAACCAGCTCAAAACAATGCCTTTTCTCCTGGGTGACTACTGAAGTAGAAGCTGATGAGCCCACAGAGCCAGGGCCAGCCCTTCATGGTCACACCTTCCTAGGGTTTAGCCACACAAACCTGAGGATCAGAGCGCACATCATAGAACCGTTGAAAGGAGTGCTGAAGACAGTGTGTCTCCAACAGTAATAACCCTGCAGAAAGTCTTAAAATGGTTGACGAAAACTTACAGCTGTTTTTCTCGCCAGGAGGAAAGAAAAGCAAACGCCTGGCTGCCTGCTGGCGTCCGGTCTACCCTGGCATCCACTTGTGTTGGAACGAATAGTGCTGCAGTATTCATGGAAGCAACGCCCTGCTTAAAAATAAGGGCTCTTAACACAATGCATTCTGGTCAAAGCCTCATGTGAGTACAGACACATTCATGCATCCATAAATCCTTCCCTGGAAGCATGCATCATTTTAAAGAGTATTTGCTATTTGAAGATTTCAACGAGGACAAAATTATGGACTTTGAAGCGACTTGGATGGATTGGGAGTCTATCGTACTCAGTGATCTATCACAGTAACAAAGAACTGAGTACCACATGTTCTCACTCATAAGAGGACCCTGAACACCTATCATACAACGACAAAAAGGGAATTGGCAGTAGCGGGACACTGCCAGGAGCGGGGTCGGGCACATAACATCCAGAAGGGTGCCCGAGACAAATCCAGGCGAAGTGAGGTCCAAGGGGAGGCCCAAGACGTCACCTGTACCTCAACCACTTTAGGTACACAATCCTAACTTGTACCCCATAACTTTAAAATTTAAAAAGATTTCAATGAGCCTAAGAAATACCTTACCTGTTATGTGAAAAATAATAGGTAAGAAAAAAAGCTTGTCTTTTATATTTGCTCCTCCCCCCAAATTTCAAGCCGTGCTCTAATTATCATGATTATATTCAATTACATGAACTTGAGAGTTCTCAGCACATTAACTGAAATGGTATGATACTACAGCGTAGCAAATCCTCAATATTGAAGCTAAGTCTGTGATCCTCAGAACACCTGGCCAGTGTCTTTGCTGTTCTAGACACACTCCATCATTCCTGGGGTATGAGCAAAGGTTTTCAGACTCCAGCTGAAGGCCTTGCATGTGAGTTCTGGGTCCAAGTTATACCAAGAGTGTGAAATACAAAACGGCAACCAGTCTCTTAGAGAGTTAACTGTTCCCATGTTTCTCTCTTGTCCCGTGTTAGATGGAAACCAGTCACTAGGAACACATTGACCATACTGCATACTTTGGCAATACCCATGGTCTGATTTTTGGTGCCCATGACCTATTTACTTTCTTCAAGCACATCTGTTAGTCATGCCTGGAGCTGGAACTCCTAGTAGCTCATGGACTAGCTCTGGGGGGTCTAAGTCCTGGACGACTAGGTCTAGTCACTCCTAGAAGTCAATGCAGGGCCAAGACAACCTTTTTTACTTTTTCTTTTTTTGTGTTGGGTCTCATTCTGTCACCCAGGCTGGAGTGCACAATCACAGCTCACCACAGCCTCGACCTCCTGGGTTCAGGTGATCCTTCCTCTTTAATCTCCCGAGTGGTGTGCCACCCCATGCAGCTAATTTTTTTTTTTTGAGTTGAGTCTCACTCTGTCACCCAGGCTGGAGGGCAGCAGCAAGCTCTGGGCCACCGCAGCCTTGACCTGCTGGGCTCAGGTAATCCTTCTGCCTCAGTCTTCCAAGTAGCTCATGCAGGTAATCTTTAAAATTTCTTATAGAAACACGCTCTCACTATGTTGTCCAGGCTGAGCTCGAACTCCTGGCCTCAAGCAATTCTCCCACCTCAGCCTCCCAAAGGTGTGAGTCACCACACCCAGCCTGGGAAATCTTCCAAGTGAAGCTTTAGATGCTGGTTACCAGGGAGTGTTCACTTCTATGTTACATTTTTGATGCGTGTGTCATTAAAATTTTTAGAGAATATGCCAGTTCTATTAATCAGTGAGTTTCCCCAACGCCCCAAAAAAGAGAAAAAGGAATGTTAAGAGTAAATATGAAATAATAGGAATAAGGTAGCAAAGTTGGTCTTTCTCTCAGTTCTGCCAGGCCTTTGGGTGAACAAGTGAGGGATGCGTGGCCAGGACACAGGAATCCTCGAGTGCTACCAATACTCCAACCCTCCAAAGATGAGGGAATCTGAGGCTTGCCCACCATAATAGAGCAATGCTAGGGTTATTGGTAACCTCTAGTCGGACACTGGAGTGGGCGGGCAGCCTGGGAATGGACAGCCCAGAATGCTGTGAGCAGCCAGAGGGGAGCTGTAGACCTGAAGCTGATTCTTGTTCTTAGGCATGAGACAGAACCACCAGAAGACTTTTTAAGGCGCAAATTGCTGTGCATAGCTACAGAGAGGCTCTAGTATTTTTCTTAGTGGTCTCAAACCTTAATACGTGAATCACCTGGAGATTGTTTCTTTTTTTTTTCTTCTAAAGTTGGAGTCTCACTCTGTCATCCCAGGCTGGAGTGTAGTGGCACAATCATGGCTCACTGCAGTCTTGACCTCCCAGGCTCAGGTGATCCTTCTGCCTTAGCCTCCTGAGTAGCTGGTACTATAGGTGTGTGCCACCACGCCCAGCTAATTTATTTGCTTTTATTTATTGTAGAGATGAAGTCTTGCTATATTGCCCAGGCTGATCTTGAAATCCTGGGGCTCAAGAGTCTCCTGCTCCAGCCTCCTAAAGTGCTGGGATTACAGGAGTGAACCCTGTGCTCAGTGAGATTTCATTCTGGCTGACGTTCAGCAAACTACGCCCACCAAGTCGTCACAACCCATGAAGAATGAGTTCCACAGCCAAACATTATTGAATATTTCAGTGACAAGACTGTAAGTGATGGAAGTTATGTGCAAAAAGATTCTCATTTAAAATTAGCTTGTGGAGATTTTTAAAAATCTTTGCATAGCACTGACAATGAAGTTTGAGATGAAATGGTTTCTCTAATGGAAAGAAACTTTGGGAAACATGTCATTGCTAACTGTTATTGTTATCAGCTAACCATCACAGTAAACAACCTGCAGATAAAAGTATTTGGAAAAATCGGACAAAGAGAAGCCCGGGACATCTGTCCTCCCACCCTGGACCTCCATTTGGGACTTCCCTCCCCAAGTTCCCCTTGGGAGGCAACCCAGGTGAGAAGTGGGAGATGGGTAAACCCAGACAGCACCAGCACACCCTGTAACAGAAGGTCACGGCCCTGGGAAAATAATGGTTGGCTCTTCATGACACACTGCTAAGTGAGAAAGGCAAGGTAAGAACAATGTCTATGGCACATTGTTCTAACTTTTGTCTACAAGAGCAGGGGAACATAGGAATCTATATTTTGATTTTTTTCTTACAAGCAAATGCATAAAGTCATGCAATAGCGCTAAAAACAAGGGTTAACTTTTTTGGGGAAAGGAATTGAACAGACTGAGAGGGTGGAGAATTTGTAATGTCCTATCTTTTAATACTTACTGATATATTGTGCAATGTGAATGCATTACATGTTTTAAAAAAACATTTAATGAAACACACCTCCCAGTCCCAAATTTCTCCTCACCTATATCAGGAACTGTCAATCTACCACTTTAGGAAACATGATGAGAAGAATGAGAATTATTCTATCCTCTACCTACATCAATAAACACAAAGACTTCTGGGAATGAATTTATGTGAGCAATTTTTAAAAATACAAAAAACCAAAAGAAAATCCTCAGAAAATATTTTCAAGGAATGTTTTCGGTTTATAAAAGGTAAGTGAAATTCAATTATACAGAGAACATATAATGTTTGGATTGTAAAACCTATCTGTGTGACGAGATATTGACACACAACATACGAAAATAGCTTGAAGTATAAAAATACAGTTGTGATCCAGCAATGGCACCAAATTAGAACAATTTTATTATTTAACATAAAACCAATGTATATACATTATCCTTCCAAATAAGAAACAATTTGATTCTAAAGTTCAAAATGTAGTTTTCAAAAAGAATCCTTATTGTATTTTGAAGAAAAAATCCTGCAAATTACACAAACTTAATTTTGATCCTTGACTAAAATATGCACCCTGTACTAATCACCTTTCTCATACAAAAATGTATGTTATAAATAAAACTTTCAAAAAAGACTTTGGAATGTTTTATTGCACATCATACAGAATGTTTACCACTATCTGAAAGGCTTTATAGTCCTTCCCTGTGTTAACTGTCTAAAAGCTCTACTCAAATTTGGGTGAAAACAATACTCTGCAGATATCAGCATATCTAGGATCATAGATGATGTTTACTAGAAACAGGAACATATAATCTTACTGAACTGCTTCCGTCACTTTTTCTAAAATATGAATGACATCTGTGTTCTACGGATCAAAGTAATTACAAGAGATCTAAACAAATTAAAAGTCCTGTTCAAATGTCAGTTTTCTTTTTTCAAACAGAAATCAAACACAGAGGGATTTTACCCAAATATTTCGCTTCCCTCTTAGGACCAGCCTGTCCTGAAGCATTTGTTGTTTAAGATTGTACTATAGGGTTTCTAACAACACTGTCCATCAGGAGGGGTTATGGTTTTGGTCTCTGCACTTCCAAATGTTCTCAGCTGTTGTTAAGCCAGCACAAACCAGCCAGAATGCAACAGTTTTACCTTAAAAAAAAAAAAAAGGTTCTAGTAAGTTTTCATACCACCTAGCACAGTGCCTAGCACAGAGCAGGCATTGAATAAATATGTGATGAATGAATGTACTATCATTTAAGATCACTTCCTATACTTCTATGTATTAACAATGGGTGAGTAATATGCCGCTTCAGGGTACACAGATCTAACATGATGTCTAAACAAAGAACACATAATGGCATGAAGAGAGACACTGTTAGTTTCTACAGTCCTGCCCCAGGACAGAAAATGTATCTGAAAGGTTAAAACTATTCCAAAAGTAAAAATTGATTAGTCCAATATTTTTATTTTGCCAAAGAACTCTTATAATGAGCCTCTGGCAATTCCCAAACATACAATGAACCCCAAATAAAACAAAACCAAATTGCACTATAACAAAGAAACAAGTCTGTGAGGGCAGAGAGGAGGCGCAGGTTAGGGGACAGCAACTTCAAGGAGGCGGTTGTTTTTTCGTTTGCACGTTGGGACACTCCCATTTTTCTGGTTGCCCTGAATGAACTTCACACATACTTTGTCTTGTCTGAACTGTACCAGGAACCTAGGAGAAAAAAAAACAAAAACATAAGTTGAAGAGAAGTACATGCAAAACAGCTCATGATTACAGTCGCAGGAGCATCCGAATTTTAACAGTTCTTGATCTTTACAAGCACAGGCTGAGCATCCCCAACCTGATCCAAAAACCCAAAATGCTCCAGACTCCGAATTTTTTTGAGCACTGACCAAGGAAACTTTCACTGGGATGTTCCAGATTTTGTATTATCTGATTAGGGAGGCTGAGCCATTAAGCATAACACAAATAAGGCTGGGTGCGCCGGCATACACCTATAATCCCAGCACTTTGGGAGGCCAAGGTGGGAGGATCGCTTGAGCCTGAGAGTTCGAGACCAGCCTAGGCAACAGAGACCTCGCCTCTATAAAAAAACATCTAAAAATTAGCATGGTGTGGTGGTGCATGCCTGTAGTCCCAGCTACTTGGGGGCTGAGGTGGAAGGATCGCCTAGCCCAGGAGGTTGAGGCTTGGTGAGCTGTGATTGTGCCACTGTACTTCAGCCTGGATGAGAGTGAGACCTCGACACACACACAAAAGTATAATGCAAATACATTCAAGTGATATAACAGTGTTTCAGTCAACGATGGACACATACATAGCACTGGTCCCATAAAATTATGACAGAACTCAAAAATTCCTATTGCCCAGAGGTATCATAGCCACCCTAGTGTTATAGGGCGATACCCTACCCTCGTGTTTGTAGTGATGTTGGTATAAACAAATCTTTTGTGCTGGGTCCCATAAGATTTTGATGGAGCTACCCTACACTGGTGTACCATCTTTTCTCTTTTATGCTGCAATTTTTACTGAACGTTTTCTAAGATATGATTAGGTGCACAACTGTTCACCCTTGTATAACTACTGCCTACAGTATTCAGTCTAGTAACACACTGTACAGGCTTGTAGCCTAAGAGCAACAGGCTATCTCATAGTGCCTAGGTGTGCAGCAGGTGATCCCATCTGGGTTTGGGTAAGTATACACTATGATGTTCACTCAACGATGGAACGGCCTGACGGTGCATTTCTCAAAACGTATCCCCGTGATTAAATGATACAGACTTGAAAAAGTTCTAAATGTCCCAAGCATTTTGAGTAAGGGAGACTCAACCCGTCTAGCCCCTTGCTGTTGACGCTTCTTACACGGAATTATGTCCTTGCAATTGACCTCTAGGAGTCACCATGTAGCCCAAGAAAACCAAAGTGCATTAACTCTTCAAATTCCAGAAAGGCAAGAAAGGCCAAGATGAATTATTTCCATGTTTCAAACAGGAAGACCAGCATGTCATAGTTATACTTTCCTCCATTTTTGTGTGGCAAAGATATAAACTGGGGAGGGTCCTCTTAAATTATCAGTAAGCTGTGAAAATGAAATAAAGAATTTCAGGAAAGGGAGGAATCTAGAAACCCTCTAGACTATGGTTTCTAAACATCGGTTACTCATATACCTCCCACATAATTGTCCTATCTTTACAGTATGTGAATATTATTTCCAGTTTAAATAAATATATTTCAAAATAACAGTGACTTACAGAGTAAGGATAAAATCATGAGTTTGATCTGCCATGCATATTTTTAATACCCATTAAAATACTTATATAAATGTTATAAAAATGTTTAAAAATCCATCAGTGTACACCAAAACCATCTCTTCTTACCCCACAGTGGTACTCATGACACACCGAGGAAAACCATTTTCTAGCCCAAATCTTTCCTTTCACAGACCAGATGGGGCCAGGTGGGTGCCCTCGGCTTACTCTCCACACCTCCCCGGAGCTGGTGCTGTGAAGGACACCCGCTGTATCCCATGAGACCCACCTTCAGGGACAGCGGCACTGGGGACCGCGATCTGCGTGGCTGGGCTTGAATCCAGGTCTTCCCACTCCAAAACTGCTGATTTTTTTCTCCCCACCACCACCACTAGCAGCATGTGTTTCTCAGGGAACAATTTTCTGAGTTACGAGCACATGACTCAGTGAGTCAACAAGACAGCCACCGACTCATCACTTACTCAGGCACCCACGGCAACTACCGGGATCCTTGCAACTCTGCTCTGAATACATCAGTCTGTTTCAAGGTCTAAAGGGCCTGCAAACGTTATCTATGGGCTGAAACGTGACATAAACACTTCTAATCTGTCGGTTGTTTCATAAGGATGGTCCTTCTGACCTTTAAAATGGGTTGTTTCTTTTCAACTTGGATGCACTGAAAAAAACCATCCTAGTTCCAGATATGCCCTATCTGAGATACGTCTCTCGCTTATATAGTTTTATCTATGTGTCTCAAAGGAACACAATATTTCAAGTTTAATGCAAATTCACACATTTTGAAAATCAAATGCTTTGACATTTTAATTTTCAAAGACCACTTGTAAGTGCAATAAACATATAGGTACATCCTTCCCCAATAACTTTAGCATATGCTAACTATCTCCATGTTCAAAACTCGTGATTAAAATCCACACTAGAAATACCAAAGGCTGATGACATTTTTAAGTACTGACCATGGACCACACTGTCCTTGGCTACCGATATATAGGATTAGCTCAGCTTTAAGGCAATCTCAGAAGGTAAGTACTATCATTTACGTCCACTTCATAGAAGAAAAACCTGAAAATCATCCTCTGGCAAACAATACCATGGAATGTGCATTAATACCAGTTAGAATTCCAGCATTAATATCAGTTAGAATTCCAGAGTAAAAGGAGCACAGATTAGTTGTTTAGATTCACAGTATTAATTCCAGTTAGAATTCCAGAGTAAAAGGAACATAGATTAGTTGTTTAGATTTAAAATATTCAGAAAACCACTGGGTGTGGTGGCTGATGTCTGTCATCCCAGCACTTTGGGAGGTGGAGGCGAGAGGATTGCCTGAGCCCGGGGGTTCGAGATCAGCCTGGGCAACTTAGTAAAACCTCATATCTCCATAATAAATCAAAAAAACTTGGGCATAGTGGTGTGCACCTGCAGTTCCAGCTACTGGAAGCCTGAGGCAGAAGGATCGCCAGAGCCCAGCAGGTCGAGGCAGCAGTAGCTGTCATCCTGCCACTGCACTCCATCCTGTCAGCAGAGTGAGAATCTGACTAAATTAATTTAATTAATTAATTAATTAATTCAGGCAACCAAATATATAACTTAGATAACACGCATGTGTATGTGCATATAGATGTACATATACATATATATATGTATATATACAACCACATAGATTTAAAATGTTTAACCGAACAAATTCACTTTAGTTTTTATATTTGGGACTTTAGTTTTAGAAATACGGTCGTGTGTCATTTAACAACGGGGATGCATTCTGAGAAACGTGTCATCAGGTGATCTTGTCCTTGTGCAAACATCACAGAGTGTACTTACCCAAGCCCAGATGGTACAGCCTACCACACACCTAGGCTCTGTGATCTAGCCTACCGCTCCTAGGCAGGAAACCTGTACAGCATGTGACTACACTGAATTCTGTAGGTAATCAGAACACAATGGTAAGCATTTGTGTATCCAAAGATAGAAAAGCACAGTAAAAATATGGCAAAAAAAGATGGCACACCTGTACAGGGAACTTACCAAGAGTGGAGATTGCAGGGCAGAAGGCAAGTCAGTGAGCGAGTGAGTGGTGGGTACATGTGAGGCCCTACAAACATATTGTACTCCACTGTAGGCTCTATAGCACTACATACTTTGGTTACACTAAATTCATAAAAAATATTTTCCTGTCTTCAATAATAAACTAACCTTAGCTTACTATCCTTTTTTCCTCTATAAACTTTTTAATTTTCAAAACATTTTACTCTTTTATAATAAACATAAAACACAATACTGTACAGTTGTACAAAAATATGATCTTTCTTTATAAGTTTTTTATTTTCAAAGCTTTCTTATTGAACTGAGACATAAACACACACAAGTCTAGGCCTACACAGGGTCAGGGTCATCAATATCACTTCTTCCCACGCCACATCTGGTCCCACTGGAAGGTCTTCGTGGGCAATAACATGGGTAGAGCTGTCATCTCCCCTGTGATAACAATGTCTTTCTGGAATACCTTCTGAAGGACCTGCCTGAGGTTGTTTTACAGTTAACCTTTTTTTAAAAAAATACATAGAAAGAATACCCTCTTGCCAGGTGCAGTGGTTCATGCCTGGAATTCCAGCACCTTGAGAGGCGGAGGTGAGAGGATTGCTTAAGCCCAGAGATTTGAGACCAGTCTGGGCAACTTGGCGAGACCTTGTCTCTATAATTAATCAAAAAATTAGCTGGGTGTGGTGGTATGTGCCTATAGTTCCAACTACTTGGAAGGCTGAGGTGGAAGGATTGCCTGAGCCCAGCAGGTCTAGGCTGCAGTAGCTGTGAGCATGCCACTGCACTCCAGCCTGGGCAACAGAGTGAGACTCCAACTCAAAGAAAATCATTATTGATTGTCATTATCAAGTATTGTGTGGACATCACTGTATGTGTTAGACTTCTAAACAGCTGACAAAAAGGAGGTTTGTTTACACCAGCACACGTGCTGTCCTATGGCACTGTAACAACTAAAATGGTACCAGGTGATGGGAAATTTTCAATTCCATGAGAATCTCACGGGACCACCATCATCTTGTGATCCACCATTGACAGAAACTATCACGTGGTTCGTGACTTGCAGGTTCTCCTTAAAATGCCATCTGTTTACAGACTGAACAGCTTGGGGGTTAAGGACTAAGGATTACAAGGTAGGTGAGTCTCTCCACGAATTCGACTCTTACTTCCACATGTGCAGGTTAAAACTGTACTAAAGAGTAAACAAGACTTTGACTCTCTTCCTGTAAACCAACACCTAGTTCATCCATTATGGTGACAGGAGATAGGTCGGGAGAGTAACAGCTTCTCCTTCTGAAAATGATACACAAGACAGGGCTCAGTCACTGAACTTCATGGTGTCTTCAACACTGCCGCCACACAGCTGGCTCTAACAGTCAGCCCAGGAAGAGCTCACACATATGGGCACAGGTGCTCCTGCCCATGCCTTTGAAGAATTTCGCTTACATGTAAGATGCTCTCTAAGGAGATGTATAATTGCTGCCTCAGAGCTCCCAGGGGTTATGACACTAGCTGCGCTAGAAACTTCCTTTCCAGGCTTTCTGTGTCCCCTGGGACGGGGCCCATGGGTGTTATGCAAGGTTCCAGCAGCCGTTTTATTTTTATGAGACCAATAAATAATCAGGCACTGGAGAAGGAAAGGTGTTATGATGTTACCAGAAGTTCGCTACTTCACGTGTCCATGCTCAGATGACTGTGTTTACTGAAAGCTTCTGCCACCCAGATTCTCACAAGCCCTGGGACAGGGCAGGGTCCCCAGAGCCCAGAAGTCACTTCTCCCCGTCACTGTTTCCCAGCTGTGTGTTCCTGATCCCAGCTGTGAGCCTATACGGGGCTTCTGTGGCGGATGACACAAAAGAAACCGCACACACTAGCCCCCAGGTTCCCCCAGAAGAGTCACTGTGTGAAGCAAGATTTCAGAGGCTCTGAGCAGCACTGCAGTAAAGAAAGATTTTAAATTTCCAGGAGAGAACATTTTTTTCCCCAGGTCATCATTGTTTGTGTCCTGTAAAAGAAGTGCTCTCAGAAGATGGTTTGGGAAATGCTTAAAACGAGCAAAAGCTTTGTGATGTGGATTGCGGTGTGATTTCTTTCTCTGTAATGATGACTTTATTAACACAATGGATCAGTGATGAGATGGCTTCACCCAAATGCATAGAAACTTCTGCCCTAAGGAACACACGTGATCTTGCCATGATGAGTGGGATCAGAAGCCTACCAGAGCCTGTTCTCCCAGACTGCGAAACATTTCAACTAAAAGATTGTTAAAGCTCTCACAGGTCCTAAAGTGTTACAACCTTAATGAACTAAAACCTGTTACCTTTTTTCCTAATCTTTGTTTTATGGGAAAGGTCTCATTAACAAGAAAAGTTATGTAGTCCAAACAGCAATTCCAATGTAGAGTATTCATAAAACCCCATCTCCCACCGACCCTAAACACTTTTAGTGTTCAATGAGAATTTAAGAGAAGCCCATGGCACTGTAAATCCTAACACATCAAAGAGAGTTTGATTTATAAAGAGGCAGAAATGGGTGTATGTTTATTCTAGAAAGACTTTTAGAAAGAGTTAAGCAGAATAGACTGCAAAATTCTGTGTGTTTTTTTTTGTTGTTTGTTTTGTTTTGAGATGGCAGCTTCAAACTGGGACTACAGGCATGTGCCACCATGTCTAGCAAAACTGGAACATTTTCAATGGGAAAATGAGATCATTTCCTGAGAAATCTGGTTATGCCAATTTTTGCTACCCATGCACAGAAGTATACCAGCAGGTAGTACACAGTCTATGGAAAGGTCATCAATTAAGTATCGGTCAACAGAGTCACTCAAATTCATCCAAACCACTCACATGGATTTAATAGATGGGAGACGCCCCATCCTATATGCAAATGATCAGCCTCCATAGTCAGAACTCACTGGGAAGGGAAAGAAGCACATTTCAAATTTATATCCGTCTCAGCACTCGTGAGCCCCTGACGACAGGCAGTAAATACGTATTCTATGACTACTCATCTACATGTGAAAAAAGGCCACCTGAAATCTAAGCATCCAAAGCACAACTCCTGATTTCACCCCACCCTCAAACCACCCTTTCCCCATGGTACCTCACCTGGGTGCAGGCCCAAAGCCTGGCCCCGACCTGTTACTAAGCCCTCTTGTCCCCTCAAGTTACACTCTGAGTTGGACCGCCTCTCACTATCACTCACTCCCACCCCAGTGTCAGCTGCGTCATCCTCAGCCTCAACAGCTTGGAGCCTCCTAACATCTTTTCTGCCTCCTCTCTTGCCTCCAATGAGTTACTCTTCTCACCACAGCCACAGCAATCTTTAAAAAACATAAACCACGGGCTCGGTGGCTCAGCTTGTAATCCCATGCCTTTGGGAGGCTGAGGTGAGTGGATTGCCTGAGCCCACGGGTTCGAGACCCGCCTAGGCAGGCGAGACCTCATCTCTACAATAAATCAAAAAAAAAATAGCCGGGCATGGTAGCATGCACCTGTAGTTCCAGCTACTTGGAAGGCTGAGGCGGAAGGATTGCCGGAGCCCAGCAGGTCGAGGATGCTCCCGGCCACTGCACTCCAGTCTGGGCGACAGTGAGACTCCAACTCAAAAAAAACCTAAACCAGACCATGCCATGCCATGCTCAAAAGCTACAACAGCTTTCCTTCACCCTGGGTAAGACCCCATCTCCTCATCTCGACTCCCAAGCTCTCCATGGCAGGGCCCTGCTTTTCTCTCTAAGTCCCCGCCATCTCACTCTGCCAGAGTTCACTCTGCTTCAGGGCCTTTGCGTCTGCTGCCTCCTGTCCAGGAAGGCACCGCTCCCTTATTTGATTCCAGTTTCACTCAGATGTCCTATATCTAAGAGGCCGCCCTGACTCCTGCCTATCAAGAAATATCCCGTGTCCCTTGAACTGCTTTCGTTCCACTCCACAAATACCTGTCACTAGCCAAAATCTTATCACCCGTTTCATCATTCTTTGTGTACACATCCATCACTTCCACTTGAATGCCAGGTATATGAAGGCAGGGCTTAGTCAATGTCACTCACTGTCCATTACAGTGGAACAGCCACTAGACAAGAACCGATATTCAGGATAAGCTGCATTAAATGGATGAGATCAGAGAGCTGAATGGAACAAGAAGGCTGACACAGAATAAATGCGTTCGGGTAATGTAAGCACGTACTCATCAGAAATCTCAATGTTGAGCTTCTGCTTGGTCTGGCTGAGGGTTGTGCGGTATAACTTGGTGGCCATCTCAATCAGGTGATCACTGCTGAAGAGAAAGTCTCCCTTGCTAGCTGCTTCTGAGCCCTGAAAAGACAAACTGAGAGTCAGACTATCACTAGATCCCTCAGGAGGCAAGTGTCCACAGGCTTGGCTGGCGGGCACATTCGCAGCTCTTTAAACATCAGGTACAGAGTTCACCATCCCAGAGTCAACTGTAATGGCACAAGCAGGCTTGCTTCCAATGTGCCCAGAGCCCTCCGTGAGGTCACCTAACTCTCTGCTGCCCAGCGTGGTCAATGGGCCAGAAGCTCCATCTGCACCATCTGGAGCTTGTTAGAAAAGCAGACACTCAGGCCTGCCACAGCCCCACAGACTATGAGACCACCACAAGGCCCCTGGCTGATATGCTCACATACTCAGGACCTGACCTGGAGCTCACTCTGCAGGACCTCATTAAACAACTCCTCAGTGATTTGGTTAAAAAAAATAACACCACCATTACTTCCAACAAACACCGTAGGACGGTGGCTCTCAATCTTAGCTCAGAAAGGGAATCATTCAGGGGAGGTTTCCAAAAATAGGGTCTTATGCCCCATTCTGGGAAATTCTGATTTGACTGTACTAGGGATAGGACACGGGCATCAGCATTTTAAAGTTCCTAAGCTGTTAAAATGTCATTGAGGTTGAGAATCACTGTCCTAGGATTTGAGATGCCTCCTTTAAGTTAAGATCTGCAGTGGGAAAAACAGGCTAAGCTCTGGGGATTTTTCTAAGTTTTTGAGTCAACCAGATAGTGGCACTATCGGCTAGAGACATGTCCCTAAATATCACTGACATTTGCCAACATGTGCTAGGAGTCTCCCCACTTTAAAGATGAGGAAAATTAGGGAGGCACACAAAAGTTACAAGACTTGGCCAACATCATCATAAGGTTAGTGAGATCAACTCCAGAGCCTGAAGCCTGGAGATCATGGTTGAGCTAAGGCATAGGGCATTAAAAAATGTTTAGGTCAAAATTATTAGGTAGTTATTTTATTGTAGTTGTATTCTTTAATACCAACCCCCAAATTAAAGATGAACAAGAAGACATTTACTAAGTTGATAAACAGAAGAAACAGCAGAGGAAACATAATTTAAAGCATTTTGAAGCTGGGTACAGTGGCTCATGCCTGTAATCCCAGCACTTTGAGAGGCTGAGGCGCGAGGGATTGCCTGGGCTCAGGAGTTCAAGACTAGTCTCAACAACTTGGTGAGACCTCATCTGTACAATAAAAAAAAAAAAAAAAAAAAATCAGTTGGGCATGGTGGCACACCCTTGAAGTTCCAGCTGTTTGGGAGGCTGAGGCAGGACTGCCAGAGACTGCTGTAGCTGTAAGTGTGCCACTGCACTCCAGCCTGGGTGACAGAGTGAGACTCTGACTCAAAAAAAAAAACTGCTTATTTATATGGGTTAGTCTCAAAAAGTGCACTAGTCAATAAAAGCGATTAACCTTATTCAGTTATTGAACAGTCAAGCCTGAGAATTTACATATGGGTGAACATAGCCAAAATCTGCAAACCAGCAAGAAGGATATGTACGCTTAGGATATGTACGATTAATCACATGTGGACACTTTTTAATGCATGGCTGACAGACTGGATGAAAGTAGAAATCTTTCAGTCATATCACCAGTTGAATCTTTACCTCCTTGAGGTGAATGGCAAAGAAGCCATCATTCTGTGAGCTCATGGAGACCTTGGTCACATCCACCAAGGGGACCTCTGACTTGATTTGTCCAGACTTTTGGTCAGCAAGAAGAAGATTATTATTTGTTAAGAGGAAAATTCGGGATGTACTCTAAAACCAAACAAAAAAGAATGTACAAACAATGATTTAAAACACCTCAAAAAACTAAAAAATGGCCTATGAGTTTAAAGCATTATTTATTTGCAGAAATACACATTTTATTCCACTGTCTTTCAACAAACATAACTATGTAAACTGAGAGCACACTAAAGAACATACAGCATATATTTTAATGTACAAGAATTTCAAAGAACAAGCAAAATTCCACTTAAGCTTAAAGGTAAGGGGGAGTAGCCTTTTTCACGAAGACCTCAACTGAGAACGTAAAATGCAAATTTTAACATTCAGAAAACTAAGGATGACTACTCTAACTAATACATACTTCTTATCAGAATTCAGGGTCAGCCAGGCTCGGTGGCTCAGCCTGTAATCCTGTGCTTTGGGAGGCTGAGGTGAGTGGATTGCCTGAGCCCATGGGTTCGAGACCCACCTGGACAACTTGGCGAGACCTCATCTCCACAATAAATCAAAAATTAGCCGGGCGTAGTAGCATGTGCCTGTAATTCCGGCTACTCAGAAGGCTGAGGCGGAAGGATCGCCGGAGCCCAGCAGGTCGAGGCTGCAGTGGCTGGGAGTGGCCACTGCACTCCAGTCTGGGTGACAGAGTGAGACTCCATCTCAAAAAAAAAAAAGAACTCAGGGTCAGCATTTTTACCTTCCCATTAGCACGGTTAATTTTGTTCACGACCTCAGCAATGATGATTTTTTCTTCAATGGCATCTTTGAGCTTCTTATACTTGGGATTCTTGTTGATTTCCAGGTAAGCCCCTTGGAATGGTTGCCCAACACTGAAAGAGAACAATTTCTGCATATTAGAAACCATTTCAAATAGAAAAACCACTGGAGAAAGGAAACAGGAGTAGCTAACAGCTTCATAAAAAGTGATCTGAATTTGTTTTATAAACTACACTTGAGCCTGTCCTAAATATAAGTAGGAAGTGAAACCTCCAGCCTATTTCAAACATCCTTTTGATGTAATCATGGCATTTGGTAGGCAGGACTGTGACAATAGGTCTTATTTCACAGAATGATCAGGATAGAAATCACTCACAAGAACAGCCAAGGCTCAAGTGTATGGCCTCATGGGAAGGCAAAGGCAATTTCTTCGAATCTGTTAATATAAAGCTAACAGCTGCCCACGAAGGCTTCACTTACTGATGCCTTCAAACAATATATGGCAATGAAAAAAGAGCTGAAATCATTACCAACACCTGCTCTAAAGAAAAAAAATCAACTTTCTTGCAGAAAATAAGAAGATCAATAGGCCTTCTGGGAAAGAACAGGTCCAGGGCAATCACTTTAGGAGAAAACACAAGTGTATACTATTACCATGTGACTCAGGCTCTGAACAGGCAACACACATGTTCCCCATGTCCCACAATGGTCTGACTTAGGATTTTCCAACTTTACAATGGTAACCAGATAACCATTCTGTTTTTCACTCTCAGTATAGTATTTAAAAAGCTCCATGACGTATTTACCACTTCATGATAAAACAGCCTTTGTGTTAGATGCTTTTACCCAACTGTAGCCTAATGTAAGTGTGCCAAGCATGTTTAAGGTAGGCTGGGCCAAGCTAGGAAGTACAGTAGGTTTAGGTATATTAAGTGCAAGTTTGACTTAGGATATTTTCAACTTACAAAGGGCTTATCAGGATGTAATCCCCTTAAATCCAGGAGCATGTGCACATGAGAGGAAGGTCAAACCTCTTCTCCTAGGATATGCCTCTAAATGAACAGACGAGGCCAAGGCTAACATTCAGGATCAGAGCAGGGGATGTTCCCCCTCCAAAACAAATTCTTGCACGAGGCATGGCCTGTGCTCTCATCACAAAGATGTCAATTTGCCTAAAGAATTGTGTGGGGACTCTCTCAGGACAGCTTCATCAGAGATGTCCAGAAAAGCTACTGTTTCAAGGGATCCCCAAGCCTCATTCTGAGCTATGAAGTTCTGGCAATTTGCAAATGCAACTTTAAACACTTGTGTTGTGGGTGGAGGATCAGGGAAGAAAAATCCACGTAGGTGGTCAGCGTTTCACAGCTCCCAGTATATAAAAGGCCAACTCCCAGAAGAGCTGCTGCTTGCGGAGTGGTGGGAGGATGAATTATTCCACCTCTCTTGCTGCTGGAGGGTGAGCTTGCCGCCATCCCTGAAAACTGATGAAACTACACCGAAAGGACATGACCTGAAGTTAACCTTTTTTTTTTTTTGAGTTGGAGTCTCACTCTGTCACCCAGACTGGAGTGCAGTG